TCGAAGCTGATATAGAAACATAATCATGAGACATGGTTCTATGTGTCTATATAAAGGAATTTTGTAGCGGCCCAAGGCTTATGAAACACCCTGTAATCTATGATTGATTAAATAGCTAAGATAAGTTTTTTTCGAAATGTTTATGCTTGAAATGAGAAAATTTGAAAGCGTAACCTGTCTTTGATCGGCTCGCTCTACATTGATAAATTAGTTCGACGACAAAATAAATAAAAATGGTTCAAAAGTATGTTATTTTTATGATGAACATTTGTTTCAACAAAAAGAAAATGAACACAAGCACAGAAGAAAAAAATGAAAAATGAAAAACCAACATTACATTTTTTCTATTTTTTTTAAAAAGTTCATATACGACGATTTAACGTTGTTTTTCAGTTCAGCATTGCTTATATGGTCCTCACTGACGCCATTTATTGCAGTATGCACCTGATGTATTACTTGATCGAATAATTGATGATATTCAAGTGCTTTCATCTTTCGATCATCCTATAACAATAAAATGGTCAAATTAACAAAAAGGACACCCATTGAAAAAAATGTAAAGATTAAAATTAATTAAAATTTCGAAATTCTATGGGCCTAATTGTAATTAGTACTCTGATGATTCTGGAACAAAATCAAGATGTTAATCGATTTTAATCAAAATTATAACCAGTATCGATTGATTACTAGAACCTTCTAATCAATTGATATTCATTATAATTTTGATTATAGACGATTATTATCCATTAGAAGAGTTTTAATCGATTAAGAAATCCGATTCTTATCGATTATATATTGTTATTTTATTTTAATAATACAAAAAGTCTTCGTAATAGTTCTATTGTGAATGTTGATTTAAAATACTATATTTCATAATTGAAAGGCAACTTCTTACAGGTGATGGTGGAAGATCTTCTGCCATTAATTTTTGTTTTGTTTTTTTGCTATTGATAGACGAGAGAGATTTTTATCGATGTTTGAAAAAGAGAATGGTGAAGCTAATAAAAAAAATGGCTTGTTTGTACAAGTCAACTGACTACGAATGACCGACGAGTAATGCATGCAGCGCCGTCAAACTATATTTGCGTTTTTCCATTTTTCCTCTTTCTGTCTTGTGTTAAGGAGGACAGGAAAACAAATCAAATCTGATTCTCATTTCGATACTATTGGTTAATTACCGCGTTGATCGATATCGCTAACCTGCTTCCCATTCTTTCCTCTTTATCATTGTTAACGTTGAAAATACATTTATACTCAGTTTTATTTTCAATGTAACGAATAAACAATGAAAATCGTATTTCTTTATTTAGTTATTCATAGAAAAACTGTTAAATATGAGTGAAAAAAACTTGGATCTAGGACTCGTCCGGATCTAGATGCAGAGATTCACTTTGATATAGATTTGGGTCCAGAAGAATGTAGACCCACAACTTCTTGATGTGAATAAAAACAGAAACTCATTTGTCTAGTTCTCTCAAATATACAATGGTTACAACAGTCATCTGATAACTATGGTTTGAACAAACATGGAAGACAAAATAAACTAACTCGTGTTGTCAGTGTTGATGTTGTTGCTGATGGTGCTTCAATTGTATCAAAATAATCAAGAAAATCTTTTGTTGTTTTAATATCTGTTGCAAATACTTGTTTTGAAAAGAATATCTGCAATAAGAAGAAAAAAAATATTAAAAGAATATACGAAATGTTTGTAAAAAAATCTTTATTACTTTTTCTTTTTCATACCAGCTTTTATAATCTGTACTGATGGAAGTAAAGTGATTTCTATGAAATATATAGAGATGTTCAAACATGATTTTCAAGTTGTTGAAATTGATGACACAAGAAAAATCAGCATTACATGGCATTTCTCGAATAGCTAAACATTTTAATCTTTTTGTTTCTGTTTTTACGAGTCTATGGGCTTTTTTATTTCAAACTGAATTCTAAAATCAAAAAAATCGCACGAACTTCTTCCGAATCAAACTTTTCTCGTTTGATACTACGTAGTCCCACTAAAAACCCTTAGTCCCCCCTAGTCCTGCAAAGTCCCCCTTAGTCCCCCCCACAAAAAGCTTAGTCCCCGCTTAGTCCCTTGTGCAGGGGACTAAAGCCTATAGTACACAAAGCCACAAGCACACCCTCACCCTCACTCGCGCGCCCACACGCGCACCCACACGCGCACCATGGGTGTGGGTGTGTGTGTGGGTCCCAGACCAACACCCACACCCTCAGTCACTCCCCCCCCTCACTCCTAGACTCACGTTTCAGTTTGAAATCAAGTATTATTTTTATTTGATAAATTCAGACTGAAATTAAATAGCCCATAGTATGGTTTTTACATCATCTAAATACAATGATGAAAGAAAAAACCATAAATTCGTATTTATTTTTACTTTAAGTGGATTTTGAACTTACTATATTTACTGTATGAGACATTATGATCACAATATATTGGAATAAATATACGAAATAAATAAAATAAATCAACTGATTATTTTTCTAAAATAAAAAAAATGTATATTATTTATAATATAATTATTAGATGATTCTTCATACCAATAATTTTGTTGAATAAATGATATATAAATAATAATAATATTGAATTTGGTAAGTCAATAGATTACTTTATCTAAAATAAAAATTTATATTCGTTATGATCGAATCATTAGGTAAAAGGCTTTGTATACATGTGCAGATTAAAATATGCGTATATTGTGAGAGAAAGAAAAGAGAGAAAATCGATAGAAAACAAAATAACTATAGAAGATAACGTTTAACCCTTTCAATCCCGTCATTGTCTTGCGTTCTGCACGAACATGAAAAAAGATAGTTTAATCTCTCTCTCTTGCGTTCAGCTATCACAATCATATGTTTTCGAATTCTAGATTCATTATTCCTATCCATACGAAGTGATTTTCATTTGAACATATCATATGATATTTGTAGTCTAAGAAGACGAAAGAACGCAAAATATTTCTTTGTCGTTCTGCATGTCATCTCGTAGATGCCATACGAGATTGAAAGGGTTAAAAAGTGATTTGTTTGTTTTAACAAATGGATGAATTCAATAGTTTATATCAATTTCTATTGATTGATCTAAAAAATGAGTTTCTAATAAAAAAAAAGCATATATGTTCTTGAAAAAGAATTTCTTTAATTATGTAGCATTTCAAATTTTGATCAATATTTAGTGTAAAAAAACCTTTTCTGCAAATAAATAATGAACTAATAAATTATCAACAGGAGATTTATGTTTTCTAGTCGACAGCTGACTGTACACAAAATAAACTTTTTTTGGATAAAATAATAAAGATGTAGGCATTTTCGTGATCGAGTTTATTAGTTTCTGCAGATGACGAAGCAACCTGTATGAAAACGGTTCTTGAATACAACAATCGGCAAAACAAAATATACATAAATGGACAAGAATGAGATCTCTATCTTTCTAACGTGTTAAAAATCAAAGCCGAATGGGGGACAAATATACGATGAATTTATACAACAATATCCTTTGATTTATATTGGGTTGGCAAGAAAGTTTTGCGTCTTTTTTATATTACTAAGATAATACAAAAAAGACGCAAAACTTTCTTGCCAACCCAATATGAATTTTGTTTTAATAGAAATTGTTAAATGAAAAAAAAACATTTGAAAATATAATGGTTGATGAATTTGTCCAAGAAATTTCGCTAAAAGATGGCGATAAAAACCTTTATTTTTTCAAATATTGAAATAATTTTTTTCATGCGGCTTTTGAGTCTGATCCTAATTGCAAAAGCAGTGCTTACTCATCTTCGTCAATATATATCAAAGCGCGAAGAATTTATTGCGACAATAGTTTTTGTCTAAATGTTGTTAGTTTAAAATAAATAAAAAAAAAGTCTTGTTCTTAAAAAAATATCAGCCATTTCAGATATGAGTGATGATATTAAAACAAAACAAATAAAAGATGTATTTTTGACTAATTTTGTAACTGCTTGCCGACACAAAAGTAGTTCATATGGTATTATTGATTAGATACTAAATAAACAAGAATCATTTAATTAATAATGAAATAAATCAAATACGGAAAGAACTTTTTATTGGTATAAATTATTTTAATAGACGTAATGAATGACATTGAGCATGAGTTTATTAAATAGTATTTCAAATCTATACTATTAAATGTCTTATTTTGATTTTTGTTTAAAAGGTTTAATGATGAAAATTTTCATGAAGAATATACACAAATATATTTCATTGCACCAACACAATACTGTAAAACCGGTGTTATAAGAAAACCAATCAAACAACCTTATTGCATTATAATTTGTCTTCGTAAAAGTAATAATATAACAGTCTAAATTATATGTAAATGTTCCAATAAGTATTTAATGTTTGACATAATTGATTGGTTTTTATTAAATAAATAAATATATATATATATATACTTAGGGCATACCAAAAGTACTGGCAGTGACACTTTAATACCCTATAGTAGGCTTTAAGAAACTTTCTTTCTATATAGTCTGATAGAGAAAAAAATGCTCTATCTTTCTATACTATTTGATCGTACTTCAGCTAATCTCATAATATTAAATTATCCATAAAACCTATTTCGGCTGATTATGTGCTGGTTGTACTAGATTACAACGTGTGAGAACAGACTAGTTTTCAATCCCTCCAGCCATTGTATGAACAACCAAAATATACCATAAGATGCAGCGTGAAAAGCACTACAATTTACATAAGGCCATTTATTTTATAGCTGCACTTTTTGCTTTCAAAATCGATAAAGTTTTGAGGGATCAAATTTTCGGTATTGAGAAAACTGGTCGCATAGAATTTTCCTTTTTTTGAAAACAATTACAATAAGCTTTACTGTGTAGATTGTAGAGCTTTTCACGCTGCATCTTGTGGTATATTTTGTTTTTCTTTTGGTAAAGCATATCAGGTGATAAACAATGAAATAACAAAAATGAATTCGTTGTGTATCGAAAACATTGTCTTTTTCGCATCTTCACAATTTGATTGCTCCAAATTTTGTCGATTTCGAAAACAAAAATTGCAGCTATAAAATAAGTGGTCGTATGCAAATTGTAGAGCTTTTCACGCTGCATCTTATAGTATATTTTGGTTATTAATACAACTAGTAAGAAATCGAAAACTGCAATGCAAAACTTACAACCAGCATATAACCCGCCGAAATTGGTTTTATAGATAATTTAATACTATGAGATTAGTTGAAGTACGATCAAATAGTATAGAAAGATGGAGCATTTTTTTCTCTATCAGACTATATAGAAAGAAAGTTTCTTAAAGCCTACTATAGGGTATTAAAATGTCACTGCCAGTACTTTTGGTATGCCCTAAGTATATATATTAATGAGCTCATGCAACTCTTAAATGTTCATTCTGAATTATTTCATATGATTTGGGTTTTTTTAATTTTATTTGCAATTCAAACATTGAATATTACACGTTCTTTCTTTTTTTAACCTTCGTATTTTTTGTTATCATTAATATCATAAAACGAAAAACTAACATCTGTTTACTCTAATCCGACTCAATACATAAAATTAAAATAAAATACGATATTATTATAATTTTTATTATAGAAAAAAAAATGCAGTATTGATATTGATCACAAAATCAATTATTGATGGATACATATTCTTATAAAAATCCATTGATCGATTCAAGATATTTTTGTTTAGTCGTGATTTTTTCTTATTTTATTAGACAAGAATCATGCTGTATAAAATTATGTATGCAAGAAGTGTGACGACATGTATTCACGCTGGAGAGAGAAATTTAATATAACAAACAAACGATTTCTTTTTCTTTCATGTTGCTTTTATCAAACAACGACTACATATAGCGGAGAAAGCTGTTTTTTATCACTTCTCCGTATTGAAGTTATTTCGAATAGACTCTATCAATAAGCAATGATACAGACAGTAGCGAGTCTGATTGTTATTAGTACTAGTACTATGGCCGTGGCAGTTAGTACCATAGCTGCAATTGAATTTATTGTTACTCCACAAAAAAATATAAATCAAACGGATGAGAAACAACATGAAGAACTATACAAACCCGATTGTCATCCTATGTATGTATACGATGTATTGGGTCACTATCCACAGCCTTTGATTCCAATGTCTTGAAAGGAAATGTGAAGTATATTATTCTGATTATTAAATATTCTTAAACATATGCGTTAGCTATAATAAAAGCAATTGTAAATATATTAATATTCTTTTCTTTTAATTTTATATTATAATTCAATCATTTGAATCTTTATCTCAAGATTCATCTAGAATATTGTTTTGTTAATATGAATAACATAAGAGCTTCACCAATTTATACAAAATCTACACAATCATAAGATACTCATATTGATGCATTATTTATCTTGTGATTTATTCTTTCTTATTTTTAAATGAATAATTTTTGCGTCGTTAAGTTTAATTAGGTGAGAATAATCGATAATACATGTGCGTATACGTACCTCAACTAGACGATATAAATACATCTGCAATAAGACGGATCATTTTTTCTATATACAACTTTTGTACATTGTGTAGTTATTTCTTTTGTTATTGTTCTAATGTATTTTAACTTTCCAATTTTAAAATAAACGAATAATATTGATATTAAACTAATTAAACTATATAGTTTTTTTCAAAATAAATCATTTTGATTGCAGTTTTTTTCTAATGACGATATTGGCTTTATATTAAAGTATATAAATTGATGATTACTCTCTTTCTTTCTGGTTGTTATTTAATCATGTGTCATTCATATTTTTTATTCTATACAAAGCAATATT